AGGGAAACGATGAACTAAAATAGGGCTACAGGTTTAATGAAACACCCAGACAAACCGGTACGAAGACAACGTGCTACCGATGCAATACTAATGATGCAAAAGGAATTCTAATTTTAAGAAAACCCAGGCTGTTACAGCACGTCGATATCATCGTGAGACCCAGACATCTCAAAGAATGACCATCAAATCCAAAGGTCTTGTCATACAATTACTTTAAGAATGATGGTGAACATCTTGCAATGGTACCAATGTTTCCCTTTAGAGTATATGGGCAATTCTTCCATTTCTAATGTATGCGATCTAGGGATCTGAGCATATCTCTCCACCCTCTTGCTTCCAACAGTGCCATGCAGTTGGTTCTTTCAAGTACTCCACTACAAAAAACCTTGACGACTTCAGTAGCAAACCTGGCCATGCTTCGAGACATGTGGTTTAGACATCCATAGGTACTCATCCCACAAATCTACGGTGCCATAGGCAAACATCCTCAACGCAGCCGTACCTTCTGGGGCATCCTCAAGGCGCCAAGAACAAGTGCGAGGCACACGTCAATCAGACAGCCCACAAGGGCGCGGATGCCCCAGGAGGCTCCAAACATCGTTAATACTGCTGCTCCTTGTAAACAATCGGTAAAACAAAACTGCAATTTTCAAAATGGGAACAGTTCTACCAACATGATTTTTCAATTTTAAGTTCACTTCTACATCAAAGACTAGTGTCACACACATAGCAGGGCAACGTACAGCTTTCAAAATGGGAATAGTGCTACCAACATACTTTCTCAACTTTTAAGTTAACTTTTTCATCAAATACTAGTATCACACACATAGGAGCGGAAGGGTAGCGTCAATCAACAAATCCATATTACGAGATACTCCATCTGTCCCAAATTACTCAAAAGTTCTAGCTTTGCCTAAGTCGAACTCTTACAAGTTTGATAAAGTTCATAGAAAAAAATATTAATGTCTACAACATCAAATATGTATAGTATGAAAATATATTTGATGAATCTAATGAAGCTAATTTGGTGTTGTAGATGTTGGTTCATTTTTCTGTAGACTTGATCAAGCTTAACAAGGTTTTAACTTGGAACAAACCTAGACCTTCAAATAATTTGGAACAGGGAGAGGAGTTAGCAATGTCTTTCTGCAGATCACTTGCAACTGGTGAGACATTCCAGTCAGTCATGACGAACAAAATGTACGAGGCACTCTGCCATTAGCCTTCAAGGCTTTCTACAAATCATCAAGCAAAGCCTCATATCTGCAGCAACATAATCTTTCCAAAATAATCAACAAAAGGCACCAGCACCTGTGACAGAATGGAGAATGACAATCATTTGGTCAGGATTATGACAGTTCCTTCATTCAAAAGCAAACAATACACCAAATGCGTTAGATGGATCAAAGATTAAGAATGTCACAAGTTGAAATTATAACCTAACAGTTTTTGCTCCAAGGAAAATAAGTATAAAATAGGAACCAAAGCAGCACAATAGCATTGCTGTTCAAAGCATGCATTGCAGATTTGTGTCTACCAATATTCCCAAGTCCTTAAATGTTAACAGGAAATATGTAATACAGTTAGATTACCAGCACAAAGCAAAAAAAGGGATAACAATTCATTGCACACATAAAAGTTACGACTTTACAGGAATTGAATTATCGCTGAATCAGTCAACTAGAAATCAATGCAAGGATATATAAAATGAACATGGTAATGTCATGTAGTTGGTCCAAAAGTTACAGGACAGTGTTCAAACAGCTAACCGTGTCTAAATTACATTAACTGTCGCAAGAAAGCAATCAGCAGTAGCATAAAATTGGAAAGATCAATTGTACCTCAGGAATCTACAGCAATTGGAGTCGGCCCAGAGGTTCCATCTATGGATACTTCAGCCGCTGCATCAGAATCTGTGTTATTTAATACCGGAACCTCCTTCTCCCTCCAAATTGCATGAACTTCATCAGTTCGGAACCTTTGAGTAAATGTCGAGTCCTCCAGGGGTGTGGTCACACCATGTGCATATGCCAGTAAACCAGTGTATGCAATCATCGCACCATTGTCTATACAATATCGATCATCAGTTGCAAACAGCCTACCCCCTCTCTCTGAGCACATAATCCTCATCATCTCTTGCAAACGTTCATTGCATCCAACACCACCAACAATAAGAACATCCTTCGAATCACAATGTGCCATGGCACGTTCAGTGATTTCAACAAGCATAGCAAAGAGAGTTTCCTGGATATGGCCACCAACTGCCTTAATTAGAACATATAAAACTTATCTTCAATCAAAGTAAGCTTAATCATTACCTAAATACTTGTACAAGGATAAACTAAAGGAGTTCAATAATAAATCATACCTGCAATGAGTAGCACAGGTCTGCTGGTGTGCACTCGTTATTTTCAAGCTTTTCAATCGCTGCAGCTTCGATGAAGCTCAATATGCCACTAAATGACACATCCATACCCTTTACAACATAAGGGAGGTCGATGAACTTCTCTCCCTTCTTTGCAAGCTGGAAGAGAGGAAGACATGTAGAGTAGACTGAATAAACATGCCACTGGGAAAGATGAAGACTACATGACACAACCATACATCTGTCGCGGAAATGGGAATAACCTTTTATTTCAAAAAGAAAGGATGGAAGGGACAGGCCAACATGAGATGGAAAGTACACACCAATATCACACTTGCATTGCACAACTGCTTTTAGTGTTTTAACATTCTTTCTCACATCCGTTGCAAAAACCATTTACGCTGTATGTTCGTTTTCATTTTTTATCTGTACATTGAGTTGTTAATGAATCTGCTTCAATCGTTGACTCTATTTCAAACATTAATTTACTCCCGCATTTCAAATCAGCTTTTCATTTGCTCAATACAGCCTCTTCGATTCAAATGATTACTTACTAGAGAATTTTGGAGGATTCAAATCCTTAGGATTTTTCCCTATGTGGGTTGTTTCATTTGTAGGAATTAGGATTACAATCAGAAAATTTTCCTTAGGAATTATTTGCACTAAGTTTTCCTAGGAAAATTTCCATCCACTCCAACCTCAAGCGAAGAATCCTACTTTTTTCCTGCACACAATCAAATGCCCATACTAATCTTGTAGGATTGAAGATGGCATACCACTCCATTCCTGTGTTTTTCCTGTTCGTGCGTTTTGGAAATCCCGTGAATGAAAGAGGCCCCAAATGCTAATAAAAAAATAGGCTTCCACAGTTCAAACCCAACATCACTTAAATATTTCTGCATATCATACATAACTTAACTTGATCAAGATTTTCTACTTTGAGCCTATGGCTGGATTTTCAAAAAAAATGCAGGATATTAGTCAAGATCCTTAACACTGCAAAACAATGAAAATCGGACAATGTTTATGATTTGAGCACATTTAACAATTTAAGAAAACTCAGTCCTGTGGTCTACTGATGTGCAAGGAATCTTGGTAAAAGGCAAATATATTTTTGACGGCACAAATAAACAAGCCCATATATCAAATACCATATGAACTGTATGGTTGAAATATGATATTGTAGGTCATGGCTACTACTGAATCAAAATTACCTGACTAAGTAATGTGATACTTCTGAATTTCAACAGAAGCAAGAAGGAAATTGACAAAGAACAATATAGCAACAACTTCAAAGTTCCGTCAAATTTATCAACACCAATCTCTTGTATGAAGTCTGATCTACCCCAGGTTTTGCAACAGCAACAACAACAAAGTCTTTCAACCCCAAACAAGTTGGGGTAGGCCAGAGTATTACAAAAAAATTAAAAATAAGTACGAGAACCTATACATTAAGTCAAGTCCATACCTAATCTATTCTTTACACAATGAAGTGTATCTCACCTAACTGGCATCACGTCCATGCAAGGTAAATAATACTCTCTCTTGTAATAAATCAGCGACACTTATTTTGGGACGGAGGGAGTAGAAAATAGCTCAATCATTAAGGGATAGTCGGATAAGGATGGTCAAATTGGCAGGGTATAGAGGATTGGAGAACATTGAATATACCATAGATTTGGGAGGATGACAAAGAAAGAGATTAGATTGATAAACACTTTACCACAGCTTGATTGGCAATAGATACATGCTCCTCTTTATTTTATATAAAGATGGTTTACTTGGTCCTCAATTAATATCTTATCATTATGGAGCATCTCTAATCTTGCCCCAACTAATTAACATTACGTGTGCATAAACATAAAATTAGGCATTATCTAAAAGTTAATATAGAGTACTACTTTAATTAGGAATAGAGATAAAATTAGAGATAAAGATCAGCTTAGTATTCATTGAACAAGCGATAGTCTTTCTAGAGACAAGATTCTATTTGTGAAGCATGTAAGCACTGTTGCTGGTGTTATCATCATGCCGGCCCTACACTCTTGTCATGCTTATCTATGTGCTTAGGGTTGTGAGTCTTGATCCATCTGGGAGATGAACCACGTTTGGTACATACACATGATAAGTGGATTGTGGTCTGCTTCTGGGGATAATTATGTTGATATGACTAAAGGCAAAGGTGAGTGGCCATGTTGGAGAACATGGTGGGTTGTCTCACTTACGCCACTATTAGGATCTGACCTCTCATTATCTTGATCCAAGATTGAGTGTGCTAACCACACGGGGTTATATGGGTCACCCCTTGGCCTAGTGTGGTAGTACCTTACCTCAGACCGCTCCAAGAGTCCCATAATTCAGGGTTTCCATTTGGTATATGCATAGAAAGATAATCGGCATAACATGGTAGGATTGTAGCACGGCTTGTCAAGTGGATAAAACTATATTGTGGGAGATAGGCTTGGGTCCTCCATACAACAGTTGATGTTGTATCAAAGATTTGGCCGGTCTCGCGATTCATGTAAAACTCAGATGGGTGACTAGCTGGACTAAATGCAGCATAGGGGAAGTGTTGTGGTCCATGACCCTCTGTGAGCACCCCAATGGGCGGGTGTGATGTGATGCTAAGAGCCGATTGACACGTGTGTGGGTAAATTGGTACACCCCCTGCAAGGTTAAATCTATTCGAATAGTCATGTCCGTGGTTATGCCGTTATGGACAACTTGGAGATTGTTGCTTGATCATAGACAACTTTAATGGTTACTTTAAATTGCGAGTCGTGGGAGGGTTCAAGGTGGTGTATTACTGTGGAGGTTAACATAGATGTAGCTAGTTTTGATGTAAGTCTTGCCGAGTACATTTGTACTCACCCTTGTTGTTCATTAGTAACTTGTGAGTAGGCTTACAACCCCGATGGTGGTTACTACGTGGACCTCAATGTCGGCGTGTAGTTTGGAGGTCCAGACAACAATCTATGCCTTTGGAAGGGTCATTGTATTTTATTCATCCCTCTTAGGCTTTCATTAAACATGTTTTGTACTCGGACATCTTTCGTTTCCGCTGATGCTTGATGTACTGTTGGGTCATGAAACCTCTGCTTTTAATATAACTGCTATCTTTGCTCTCTTATGAGACTTTGTTATATATATGCTTTCAATGGTAGAGTTGTGTTACTTGTTTTCACACACACGGCGTGCATGATGCAAGTATCTATACCTACTATTAAAGGGAATAGATATTCTTGGTTTGGTTTAGTCCTTTTCATTTGGTTTACACACGCTAAGCGATCTGGGCCAGATACTTGTATGTTGATGGGCCTTTTATGGGCTTTAATAGAGACCACAAAAAATAATTGGGTCAAAACAAATCAACATTGTGAGAATTAAACACATGACCTCCTGTCTAGCTCTTTGATGTAACAACCAACAACCTATGCACCTTACACATTTACTAATCCCAACTCCCTCTAAATATACGAGTGGCAGTCATAATGTTTAGTGCGAGCTAATTAAGCAAATGAGCTAATAAAGATTGTGGGCTTAAATAGAATAATTAAATAGATGTGGCTAATTAAAGAAAGGATTATAGGTAAATTGGTGGAATAACTAAAAGAAAGATTGTGGTCTTAATAAATTATACATGAAGGATTTGAGGTAGGGTAATTAAAAGGAATGATCTGTAGGCTTCAATCTGTTGGGGCTACTAAATTAGAAAAGGAAGGATTTGATTCCCGACTAAAACGGATGAGGACGTCATGGTAATTAGTGAAAGGATTATACTTAAATTCCACTAAAAAGGATTGTACTTCAATGGAATCAGTGGGAGATTATGCCCGGCAAAGAAAATATAAACACGGCTAAATTGCAACGTATTTTTTTATATTTATTTTGTAGAAGGATGCTGCGTTACAACATGTTCTTCATAGTAAATCCGGCGATGTGAGACATTACACAAAACATCAATTTATCCCGTTGCAACGCACGGGCATATGTGCTAGTTGATATAAAGTGCACGTTCTGTGTAGGGTCTTGGAATCTATGTTATGCATGTGCTAGCGGATGATCGGATACAGGGTGAAGCAATTCATGTACTGAGAGCTTAGGAGCTATATCAGCTACTCCAACCATGTGTGCATTTTACTGGTTGTGGCTGGGTATGTATTGATGCTTCGGCTCAGTTAGATCAATTGAAAGAATGTTTGAGACCATCCCGCTCAGACAAGGTGATCCAGTAGTGGGGTAGTGGCTTGAATGTTTCGAGCTCTCCGAGACTATTAGGAGCTCACGGCCCATCAAATATTGGTGTCATTGTCCGAGCGTGAATCTCAGCTTTATGTATCATTCTCTATAGCTAGATTTGTATAATTTTGGTCCCAGGGTCCGACGGCGTTTGTATCAAAGTCGGGTTTCGATCCCGAGACCTGTGGGTTATGGGCCCATGTAAGCATCTCTAATGTCTATATCTCTACATATTTTGTAAAATGCACAAAGAATTATATTATTGCACAAATGTATGCATGTATACAATCTAGCATTGCATTTTTTGGTAATTTCTTTGATATTCACATGTATTCAAACCCTATATGGTGCACGTAAACCTATGCTTCAACTTTTGATATTCACATGAAGCCAAGCCAATACAAGTCAAGCAACCAACCATGATCAACAAGTCAAATGAAAGAAAAAAGATAAGACCAAGTCAAAGAGGCCAACTAAGGCAAAGAAGCCTAAGTGAAGAATCCCATCATGGTGGAGCGATGAGAGGGATTGGTCCACCATAGGCTATGGGCGTCCCCTCCTAGTACACCATGGACCCGTGGACCAAAGATTAGGTCCACTACCGCTCCACCTACCATCTCAATGGTAGTCTTGTTCATCTGTGAAGGACCCATAGGCTATATAAAGCCCCCATGTGCATGTAACTCGGTCACTCTCAAGAGAATCAAGTGTAGTGCACAGAGGTTCAAGCCTCGTGCGGGGAGCTCTAGGGCCGTGTCCGAGGAGCCTCGTTCGACTAGGACCGACGTTAAGGAAGAGAAGTTTGGAGAGTGTACCGAGGAGCGTTGTTCAAGTCGGGCTTCCAACCAAACCTCCCACAATGCCTTCCTAACATAGGACTAGATCACAGTCCCTCGAGGCAACTGAAACTATTAAGAAAACATTGAAGTGTCAATATTGTCGGTGTACAACCACATTCGTTGTAAGGCCGTCGTACACACCCCCAATTAAATCATTATTGTGCTCCCTTTACTAATGACATTCATGATAATCATGATTGCGGACAACATCTGTAATACCTAATAGATAAAATATGAAACTACTTTTCATGATGAATCAAATGATATAAATTTTGTATTGTGGGTACTGACATATTTTTCTAAAAACTTGGTCAAACATGCACCCGTTTGACTTTTGAAAAAACAAATACACCTTATATAAAGGAACGGTAGGAGTATTGTATAAGCTAATCTGGAGGGCAGTCCAAAGGACTTGAATATCAAAATGGCATCACAAATCCAATTGTTTATTCTGTGTTATGCAATCATCCTACATGGCTACATTGGTCATATGCAATAATACATGGTCCTCTCATTTGCAAATACTATCTCATACAGGCAAGAATCACCAGCTCGGCACATTGAAAATCAATTCGCAGATCGACCAGATAAAAATCCCAATTTTCCACATTCTCAATTTAGTTCATATATCTCGTAATTAATCTATTTATGTTATTATCCCATACAGATCGAAGTGCTTGAAGCAACTAAACAACTCACGCAGTTAGGCGTGAATCACAATTGAAACTAGAAACGAGCATATATATGCATATACAGCTACGAATCCTCTATAACACTAAGCTCCCTAGTTTTAAAGAGCCCACATTCAATTGAGGTCTCCAATTGGGATTGGGTCATCCGATTTTGACCAGGTCAACAATTTCTCAAAGCTCTCTAATTCAATTCTTTTATACTATACACTATGGTTCCCGATTTTTAAGGCCTCGCGATTAACTGAGGTCTTCAATTTAGATTTAGTCAGCCTGGTCAACAACTTCTCAAGGGCTCTCTCATTCGTGATTCCCTATGTTCCCATTTTAAAACAATTTCATTCAATTGTGGTATTCAATTTTGGATTTGGTTTACGATTTGACCGGGCCAACGATTTTTCAAATCAATCAGGAGCAACCGGCCTATGAAAATGTATCAATCCCGTGCACTCTCCAACCACCTAGAAAAAAGAATCGTCACCATGTGATACTATGGCACCAATATAGTACATGCAGCCCCTGACATAGAAATTTCCCCACATAAATATACGCTATTTGGCGGATAACACAGAACCGCACCACGGAAGGCCCATCAAATCACCGCATTATAAATAAATATAAAACACACTCCATCTTCTCTCCCATCTGTCAAACTAAATATTCCATCAGTTCTACTCCCTCCGTCCGGAAATACTTGTCATCAAAATGGATAAAAGGGGATGTATCTAGATGTATTTTAGTTCTCTTTTCATCTATTTTGATGACAAGTGATACATCCCCTTTTATCCATTTTGATGACAAGTATTTCCGGACGGAGGGAGTACAATATAAGGGATATTATTTTTTGGAAGTCAAATTTCTTTAATTTTGACCAAGTTCAGAGCAAAAAATATCGAGATCCACAATAATAACAAATGAGTACGGAAATTCATTTCATGATGAATCTAATCATATCGATGTGATTTATGGATTTTGATATATTTCTCTACAAATTTGATCAAACTTAACAGGTTTGACTTTTCAGAAAAGTAAAAGAACTTATATTTTAAAACTTTTTTTAAGAAACCCAACAACACCAACGGCGCAGCAAAGCGCACCTAACTTCTAGTAACATTGGTAAACTGGAAGTCATATATAGAGAATTAGCATTTGACGAACGGGTTACCTGCTCGATGTTATACCCAGGGCTGGGGTCATTCGAGAGCTCGAGGATCCTCGCAAAGCGGTCGAGGCAGTTCCCCACGGCAATATCAATGGTCTCACCGAAGATCCTGTACCTCCCTTCGCTATACGCGATGACCTGCGTGTTGCCACCTGAGACGTAGAGCACAACGGGGTCCACGGCGCCCGTGACCGCGCGGCCCATTTCAATGTGCGCGACACAGTGATTGACGGCGACAAGCGGTTTCCCCCATAGGAGCGACAGAGCCCGGGCCGATGCGGCGGCGACCTGGAGAGGCCCGCCCATGCCGGGGCCCATGGTGTAGCAAATGCAGGCGAGGTCGGCAGGAGAGGCATCAGCCTCGGCGAGTGCTGCTCGGAGTAGAGGGAATAGGTGGACGAGGTGGTGCTGCGCGGTCTCCCGGGGCAGGAAACCGTGGCCTGGCGGGGTGATG